CCCCCCCCCCACGGTTTAGGGTTTAGGGTTTAGGGTTTAGGGTTTAGGGAAAAAACATAGATTTCCTGTCTGCTTCAGGAAGGACTTCCTGAGTCGGCATCCTATAAGTCTAAGGTTGGAACCATGGGCGCTTAGTATGGGCTTAGGGTTTAGGGTTTCGGGTTTAGGGCCACTAACTATGGGATCTTAATATATTCGGGGTTTGGGGTTGAGTTCTCGGTACTACCTGACTGCTTAACCCCAAGCCCCAAACCCTAAACCCTAAACCCGAAAAAAACCTAAACCCTTATACACCCTAAACCCTAAACCCTCAACCCCCAAAACACGAAATACTTCAGGCTGCTGGACAAAGCTATCTTCAACCGTAAGAAATTGGAAGAGCACAGCCTGGAACCCTGAGTCCCTGCCGATCCAAACTCCACTGTTTAAGCTTTAGGGTCTACGTAGTTGGCTTTAATAAGGTTTAGGGTTTCAAGTTTAGGGTTCTAGGTTTAGGGTTTAGGAGGGTTTAGCGGTTTAGGGTTTCCGGGGGTTTGGGGCTTAGAAGGGTTAAGGGCTTCAGTTTGGGGATTTAGTCGGGTTTAGGGGTTTAGGATTTAAAGTTTGGGGTCTAGTAGGGTTTAGGGGCTTGGGGGTTTAACGTCTCTGGATAAGGCCAGCGCATGAGCAGGAAGCTCATGAACATCCCGCCAAGAATGAGGTGCTCCTGGCTGGCTGTAAAGCACGAAAGAAGACACTGCGCTGCGTAATGTAGGGCCTTAATAGTTAGAATAGAGTTTTGGGCTAGTATACTCATATTAAGGAACCCTGAGGAATAATATAGGTAGTTATTTATAGGCTTCTAGATTAATATACCTTCTGGGTACATGGACCCTTCGGGTCGCCGACTGTAGGGGGGACATGTCTGGTTTTGCGAATACCTTCTCGCGCGGGCGATATTTTGAGGCTTTGGGACCGCTTTCCATTCAGACCCTTAACCCTGAACTTCCGGATCCTGGAACATCATCTCGGCCAAGGCAGGTATACCGTCGAAGAAGCAGCCGGTGAAGAACAGAGTGAACATCGATTGGGACAAAGTGCTGAAGTAGGCCTCCGATTCCCAGGCTGGGTTCAGAGCTTCGGGCTTCAGGTCAGGATTTAGGGTTTTAGGGTTTAGAGTTTTGGGTGTAGGGTATAGGGACTTAGAGTTTAGGGTTTAGGGTTTAGGCACATTTAATTTTGTCACGGCCGAAGCTTCCAATTGCCGACAAGGTGCTTTGCCAACATCCGTCTCCTGCCGCTTGAGAAACTCTAAGTCCCTACAGGGTTTAGGGTTGTGCTTCGGGTTCGAGGGTATAAGGTAAAACGATGATGAAGCAGCCATGACAACAGGTTCCCGCAAGGAACCAGTCGAACCCTAACACAATGAAGCCTTCCGCAGAAGCAGTGAAGAGCCCTGCAGACGATCCTACATTTGCACTGCTTCGAACTTCTGCAGGATGTCGCGCGGTTTCTAGAGTTAGGACAGGACTTACGCGGTTTCAATTGGGCCTAAGGCGGGGGGGCTATAGAAAGTTTAAGGCCCCAGTTCCTGGGCTTTGGAAGAGTTTAGTAATTATAGGGGACTGCAGAATTAGATCACACTTTAGCTTCCGGATTCGCACTCGCATGGCCAGTGTCGTGTGTACTAGAGTTGGGCATCCTAAACAAAGGGTGGTCGGGCTTCGGGGAGGGATGTGGCCACCTGCGGGAAATTCGGCTTTGTGGTGATGGGGTTTCGCAGTATTCTAGTTGCGGCTTGAACTGCTCCCCGCCTTGCACAAGTGTTTGAAGGCGATGCCATATACCTGGGATTTGCACCCAAACCCTAAACCCTAAACCCTAAACCCCAAACCCTAAACCCTAAACCCTAAACCCTAAACCCTAAACCCTATTGGGCTCAAGCTTTGGCAGCTTCGGGTATTGTGCTTGCACTTATGCTGCGACCCTTGGGACAAAAGGAGCTGACTGCAAGCCCTGGGCGCGCAGAACTCTGCACCCGAACCCTGGGCCCCAAGCCTAAACCCCAAAAATCTGAGAATCGAGTCCCTACCTTAGACCCAAATAACCAACCTTTTTAAACGGTTTAGGGTTTAGGGTTTAGGGTTTAGGGTTTAGGGTTTAGGGTTTAGCTCATATAATGAAATCATAATAAGGAGCCCTAAAAAGGTAGGTTTTTCGGGGTCCAGGTAGGCCCTAAGCCAGAAACCGATCTCTGCCCACTGGCCAACTCAATTCTGCCTATGCAAAGAGCCCAGAGCCCATTCGCCAAGGGGTGCCACTAACGCAGTTTGGGGTTTAGGGTTTCAGATTGGATCTTCTGCTCCTTACAAAGGGCTACTATTGCGAAGGACCTCGCCGTTGCGCATTCCTAGCATATCCGTGTTCCGATGATATTACCCTCAGGATCCATGTATACTTGGGCCTGAAAGGGGGTCCAAGAAAGATACTCCAGAATCAGAGTATCTTCTTTATGGGATCAGGTGGGGTGCTGATCCAAATTAGGGCCATTAGGGCCCGTGGAAGCGATCCTGTTTACAGCCGACAAAAGTTTGTGCCGTATCTCCAACATTGACAACCCTACTAAACCCGAAGTACTAAACACCAAGGCCAAAACTTCCTGCCCGGAACCCTGCATCGTAAAAGCCTAACGCTGACCCCCGCCCCCTAACCCACCTCAAAGTAAGACTATAAACACAGTTCGCTATCAGCGCTACGGTGAGGCTTAGGAATTTCTTTCGCTCTAATTATTTTGCAGACTTTTTGTTTCGCACTGTCACGGGCTTAGGCTTCAAGGCCTAGAGGGTTCTAGTTTGCGCTTGAAGGTTTTGGCTGTTGGCTCATATAGGGTTTGGGCTCTCCAACCGTAGTTCCTCGTTTTGCTTGATTGGGGTTTAGGGTTTGGGGTTTAAGGATTTAGCCGCTGGGGTCTGATCATGGGCAAAAAGAGGCCCAAGTGACCAACGAGGGTCTAACCCTGCACCCTGTAGCCTACAACCACAAAATGCAAACTCGTCCGACCGCCGATGAAACCAAACGGAGGCGACGGCATAACCCCTTCAAAGCCCAGGAAGTCCCCACTTGACACCACTTTTGGCCACTAAACCCGAGGCCCCCCCCACCCCAGAGAGGCCATATAAACTCATAGGGTTTGGGGTTTGGGGTTTCCCCAAACCCTGAACCCTAAACAAGCTCGATGAAGCGTTGTCAGACCCATGCCCTATAGACCCTTCAACCCTCAACTCGCGAAAGCCTAAACATACTGGAAACCTTAAGCCTCCACAATAGAAACCTGAAGCTAAACCCTGAATCCTAAACCCTTAACTCCTTCAACCCGAAACCCCTATACCCTAAACCCCTACCCCTTAAACCCTAAACCCTTAAACGCAACAACAAGGGGCATAGATGAGCAAGCCCAGCAGGCACAAGGTAAAGAACACCGAACCTCGGAATTTAGAGCCCTTGGGGTTCGGGTTTAGAGTTTAGGGTTTAGGGTTTAGGGTTTTCGGGGGGACGGCTTGTGGGTGGTGGTAGCGATGGTGGGATTCAAGGTTCAGGGCTTCCAGCTTTTTCGATGGACTGTTTGTCGTTTCGGTCCCGTCATTTTGGGAGGTTCCAGGACTTTTGACCATTGCAAGATGCTTCTTATAGAAATACAGGAGGATTGGCACGGCTCCGGGTTTCGGGTTGCGGGTTTCCTAGATTGAACGTAAAAAAGGTCATGAACGGTCTGATCTGGACTTTACTAAGGGTGTAGGGTTCAAGATTCTTGGGTTTAGAACTTGCTGCTGAGTCTGCATCCGGCCCTTTTGTTCCAGAATGCTTGCACGGGCTGCGTTGCATATGAACGGCTTAGAGCTTCGGGAAATTTGGGAATCTACCTGGTAATTGGGAGCGTGCAGACAGACATGGGGAAGCCGGGGTAAGGAAGGAACGGGCCCGACACCGACGAAAAGCTTCAGGCAGCAATAAGCCAACATCGAAACTTTACATGCACGATGTTCGGAGACGAACCCTAAACCCTAAAACCCTAAACCCTAAAACTCCCCTAAACCCTGAAACCCTAAACCCTACACCCTAAAACCCCAAACACTAAACCCTAAAAACCCGTTGCCCTGAAACCCTAAACCCTAAACCCCGAAACCCTAAACCCTAAAACCTTCAACCCTAAAACCCTAAACCCTAAAAACCCTAAACCGTAAAACCCTGAACCTTAAACCCTAAACCCTGAAGCCGAACCCTAAAACCTTCCACCCTAAAAACCCTAAACCCTAAAACCTTGATCTGATTCTGGTCTGTTTCAATAACTCAAGACCTTCCGAGGTGCGAGATGCGACACCCAGGCCTTTGACCAAGATCACGATCTCCTGAGGTTTTAGGGTTTTAGGGTTTTAGGGTTTAGGGTTTTTGAGGGTTTAGGGTTTAGGGTTTAGGGCTTTGAGGGTTTAGGGCTGCTCTTGCAGCTTTACGGTGTGAACTTTGGCTGCATGCTACAACTTCTTGTTCTTCCTAACATGCACTACACCACATAGGAAAGCATGCTCAACAACCTTCTAGTGGCTGGGGTGTAGCGCAAGAGCCGCACCAGCCGCACCATGCGGAAGAACCTGGCACATCTAAAGTTCAAGGTCAAAAACAACAAAATTCTGTAGGATTCGGACAAGGGATTTGCGGTTATCGGGTCCAGGGCTGCGTGAGGCTGGGGGATGCTGCTGTGTTGCTTGCGCTAGGGGCAAGATTGAGGATAAAGGCGATCCTCGAACAGACCGCCAAAGAGGAAGAGAGGATGAAGAGGAAGCAAACGATGAACGCACGTAGGAGGCTGAAGCCGGCACTGACGACGATGATGATGATGATGACGCTGACTATGGATGACGGTGATGATGAAGAGGTATGTTTTAGAAGCTGGCCATCATCTTGCTGCCGATGGTGGTGCTGAGGGCGATGAAGAAAATGCTCTTGATGGTGTTGGCAAGAAGCATGATGCTGACCGTTGAAAGGTGCTACGCCGAGGGAGCTTCTTCTTGCAGCAGCGGCAGCAGCGGCAGCTGCTGCTGCTGTGCTGGGCCGAAGATGCTATTTAAAGATAGCTGCTACTATTACGGGTGTTTATGAGTATGCTTCTGTTGCCGTCCGTGCTTGGATTGGTGATGGTGCTGATGATGGGAGGGGTGATGCGGGCCTGATGGAGAGGGTTGCAGTAGCAGTGGTGTCGGTGACGACGATCATGAAGCTTTCAAATCTTAAAAGACGAGTGCGAATCTGATCAAGATGGCTGCCATGGTGCCGCGGTGGTGACGATGATGGTGTCTCCGATGGTAATGGTGGTGGGGATCACGATGCTGATGCTTCAGGGCCGGAAGTCGATGAGGAGATGGTCGACAGGTACGGTACAGGCATAATGCTGAATGTGAAGGGTACCGTTCTGGCAATCATACCGAGGAGGCGGCACTGGGTGGTGATACGGTATTGGGCGTGTCGATGAAACTGCTGGTGCTCGCGGTGACGATAATAATAAAGGTGATCATCACGTTTTTGCGCACTCTGTCGAAAGCAAGAAGATGATGGATTGAACAAACAGTGCGAGCATTGGGCGAGCGAGCACGTACCCCTGTATTTTATGTAAGCACTTCTGTTGCAAGGTACCTTGCTAATTATTTATGCTGCCTGTGACCATGGTGGTTGACATTGCTCAACGAACACACGGATGCAGGCTCCAGGATAAGAGTAGTGATGATGTGGTGGCAAGTTTATGGTCTGAGTGTAACTGCGGCGTCGTACGCACATGGTAAAACAGGTGCATACTTTCCGCTTGCTTGTCGCTGACTGACACCATTTTGTTGATATCATTCTTGTCATACTAATGACATTGCTACTAAAAACGATATGAGTGATATTAAGCCCTGAGGATCCATGTGCCCAAATAGTATATACTTTAACCCCCAAAGTACGTATATAGGGACGACTTTAAGGCCAAAGTCTATACTATTTGGGCTCATGGACCCTCAGGGAATAGCAATAACTACCGTGTTTGTGTAGGTAGTTTCGACCCTTTAGGGGACAAAACATCAGCCCCGAGATTCCCCCAGCAAACCTGCAGCAGCAAAACAGCAACAGAACCCTTAGACTTGTGACGAGCATCTTGAAGACTCGTGTCAGCCGCAGGAAGGCCGGATTGAATGTTGAGGGCGTGTTCCCGGTCCTTGAGATATTCATATGCCGGAGGACAAGTTGATTTCTGGCGTTTCAAGCCCGAACGGTCTGCATGTACCTGTATGTGCTCTAGACCAGGTTCCCCCGGAGTCCCTTAAGAACCAGGGTGCCCCCTTTCCCTACTATCCGGTTTCACTAAGAAGACCCCCCAAAATAAAAAAAGGCAAAAAGGGATACTACTGGACAGAGACCTTTAGACCCTTGGACTCCAAAACCCCTAAACCCTGAAACGTATCCTAAACCCTAAACCACCTAAACCCCTAGACCCTAAAACGTACCCTAAACCCTAAACCTGAACCCCTAAATCCTAAAAGGTATCCTGATAGACCCCTTTAACGGACCCAATAAAGTCTCTCCTTAAGCCATCCAGGGGTTTATGTAGGGGCCTTAATAAGTAGAATAAGGTTCTGAGGGTAAATTTTACTACAACTATAATAATTAAGGACACCCATTTTACTATAGGTATATATTTTGCTATAACTATAATAAGAACAGCCATTTTACTATAGGTAGTTATTAAGGCCCCTATACTACATGGACCCGCAGGGGAACCTCCAGGTTGCAAAGACTGAAAGTTGTAAATTTGGTTTTCCGAAGAAAGGTTTAGGGTTTAGGGTCGGGGGTTTTAAGGTTTAGGGCTTAGGGCTGAGGGTTTAGAGTTTAGGATTTAGGGTTCTTGGTTTAGGGTTTAGGGTTTCGCGAACCAATTTAATGTTGGTATTATTGGTTGAGACTGTTATGTTAGATTCGAGTCTTGTGCCACAGGGAACCATAGCAACTTGGACGCGAAAGCTCAAGACAACTCATGAGTGCTACGAGACTTCCCGGCTTCTGCCATCTCTCAATCCCGACTCCTTACGGTGAACTCCTGAGTTCCAGGGCTCGCATTTCCAGGTTCAGGGTTTGGGGTTAAGGACAGGATTTAAGGTTCAGTGCTCAGTCTGGCCGAGTCTGGGAGGTCTGGCTATTCGGACGGGGAAGCAGGAAAGTCGCTGACTCACTTGAATCTACACGCTGCCGAAGGGCAGAGTTGCGAGCTGGATGATCGCAAGCAGCCATATTTCCTGGTTCCGGGCTGGGGCCTCTAATGAGCCGGGCCTCTCAGTACCAGAGGCACAAGTCAGAAGCCTTATAACTTGTCCAATACCCTATAGGGGACCTCAAGGTGAAACTGATTTGGTGGTTTCCAGAAATAGGGGACCCTAATATAGTATGCTAAATAATAGGTGCCTTATTATAAGGACCCCAAAATAAGGTACCCTAATTTTCGGAGAGTCCCATTTTGGAAAGGTCATTTACCCCGCTACCAAGAAGCCCTTTTGCAGATGTGGGAAGGTCAGACACCCACAAACATAAACAGCAGCCCTTCTTCCGGATACATGTGGGCAAAGCGACACCCACACACGAAGCCCCGAAAGCCCAGAAATTTGACGAAGTTCGAGGTAGTCAGGATGACACCGGGAGAGGGCGGCTAGGGTTCAGGTGCTGGAAGATGTATGGGGACTTGACATGATGGCTTCGAGGTACCTATCTTGGCGGAAAGTCGCATATCTGCTTTGTGACTGTCGTTCCATTCTTAGCATCATGTCCAAGTGGTGCTCTCGGAGCTGGAGCTGAGTCTAGCGTCTATTCAGGGCTGAGGCCGTAGAGTGTAGAACTCGGTTTGGGTTTCATCTTGAGTGCTTTTGCGCTTTGCAGTTAGTAGGCTGGGGAACAATTTCCTTGCACCCGCAGTCAGTACAAACCCCGTAACACCATCATGATGTTTGCTTTGGGAGTGGTCATATCCCAGGGGGTTGGGGCGCTGCTGGGGAATTGGGGGCCCTGCACCCTGCAAAAATCCTGTGCGACCCAATGGGAGCCAGTTTAATAATCCTGCGGAAACCCTTTGCACAAAAACAACAGGCAAGTGCTTACACAAAAACAGAGACAAGAGGGCTCACCTAACCTACAATGGCTTGCCAAGGCACCAGAACCATCAGTATCACGAGAATCTTGGCTGTTTGGGATTTCTTGTGTACGTCGTGGAGTTAGTCAGGTTTTCTGAGGGACCTGTGCGGCCTCTTTACAGCTTCATTCAGGGTTTAGGGTTTAGGGTTAGGGTACAGGGTTTAGGGGTTAGGGTTTAGGGTTTAGGGATGCATTAAACAACCCCAAACCCTGGGTGCTGCCCCCACACAGTAACAATCTATAAGAAGGCTTATGGTCCGTATATCTATCCATATTCTTAATAGTATTGAGCTGTTATTGAGTGGGTGCAGCACCCAACCCAAAACCCTAAACCCAACCTGAACCCTAAACCCTAAACCCTAAACCCTAAACCTTCGACCCTGACGGGCTTTATGAAGCAACCCGGAAAGTGAAGGTCCGGACCTTCCGCGTCGCAGGATGAGGAACCAAGGAAATCACTAGGTTGCACGCTTGAAGGTATAATGTAGGGGCCTTCATAATTAGAATAGGGTTTGGGAAGTTTCGGGGTAGACTATACTAGAATTACAATAAGGAACCCCCACAATAGTATAGGTAATTATTAAGGCGCTTTGTCATAAACTATTCTCGAGGCCTACCTAGAGGAACGATTGGGCTGCCTGGGCCAAGAAAAAATCAAAAGTTGTTGCATCCTGTTCATGTGTTGGGCCCTGTCTTGATGCGAAAGCAATCCCAAAGCCAGCTTGAATCCTATGCCCATAGTTACAAATTCAATTCCAACACAACTGAACCTACGTAAAGCCCCTAGTGTGTATAGCTGTTGGATCACGAATTGGAGCTTGAGGTTTGACTTGCGCTAACTTGGGATGAAGATCTCATAACTAAGGTCAGCTATAGAAGTACCTTAAATTACACAGTACGGTACGCCCTGGCGGCGTGCATTTGTGGCAATCGCATCTACTAGTGTTTAACCATGTTACAAATTTGTGTCTCAAGACTCGAGAAGAAGCACTGGATCCCTCGGAATTACACACCGCCACCTCATACCAGTCTCGAAATAGACTGGGATACCTCATATGGTTTCAGTAATATACCCGGGATTATAGTAGGATGCCTAGGATGATTAAGGATTATATTCCTCAACTAAGGACTCACAAGGGGATATTGGGAGATCGGGGGAGCTTTCTCTGGCCCAGCGGCAAGGTCAACGACGAAACCGATGTCCTTCAGAGCCGTCAACTTCCGCTTGTAGGCCCCGAAACGGATGGACAGCTCAATGACGAAGAAGAGGCAAAAGATGTTCTCCTGAAGCGGCTGTATGTGCGAACCGGATTTCAGCCGCTTGCCTCATGATTTTGGGATTGCCGCTCTGGGGTAATGTAGGGGCCTTAATAATTAGAACAGGGTTTTGGGCCCATTGTACTTTAACTATAATAAGGAACCCCACAAATTAATATAGGTAATTATTTAGGCCCCTACTTTACAACTGCAAGAAGTTAATCCATCATATCCGGACACCATGGATGCGCTTGGCAGCCGGATTTGGTAGAGGGAATGTCCTAGGAGGTCCTATTCTGTGGCAGAGGTGCATTCGCATTAGACCAGCCTGATGACTACGATTGCAACCACATATTCGACTAATGTAGGGGCTTTCATAATTAGATTAGGGTTTAGGGTAGATTATACTATACTTATAATAAGGAACCACCAAAATCGTGTTGGTAGGTCCCTTTATTAGATTGGCACAACCACACTAGCTGCCTTGCGACGTGACTCTTGGGCTACAGTTTCAGCCCGCTTTGGAGGACCAGACCATGTGCCTGTCTGTATGTACGTGTGTATGTACGAGGGTTTAGGTTTCATGCATGCTCAGTCGCTGCTACTCTCGGGAAAAGCTTGGCGTAGACTCTCACCCTGCATGTTGAGCTTCTCGGCTCTCCGAACTGGTTGCAGGCCAGGGTGCAACAACGAGGAAAATTGGATCTGTCTCAATCAGGACATCGGAGTCATTCCAGGCAGCATCAATCCCAAGCCAAATGCAATTCAAGAAGATGCCCTTGGATGCGGCGTCAGCGTTGGGGCCTCTAGGGCTTCTAGGAATTTGGAGAGCAGTCATATAGAAGCCTCCAACATCTATTCAACGTCCGTTGGATCCCTTCGAGAACCCGAGTGAACACCTACATCGTAGGGTTTCGGGCTTAAGCTATCTCAAGCCTTTAACCCAAGTTCAATATCCTTCTTGGACGTGCCACTTGCAGAGTTTGCGTACCGAACTCTGAGGCCTTAGTAGTTAGAGTAGGGTTTTGTGCGATACACACAAGTATAAAGCAACATCGTGGCATGGCCCATAGTCATTAGTGATTTGTGTTATGTTATATTTCAATACAGCAAGGAAACCTTGTTACGGAATGGTATTACTAACTTCCATGCTGCCTAGCAATCCGAACAAGACAAGAACCCAGAACCCTGTACGCTGCTCGTCCCAGGGCACACACATCACCGCGATGTCGAACCAGGGATGTCGTGCGATGCGCCTGGGAGCCAGCTTAAGGTAGTAAAGGGATATTATGAGGATTACCTCCGAATCTCCGGAAGGCTTGAAGCCCTGGCCGTAACTTCCGAGCACTCCCAGGCTTCAAAGATATTGAACTACTGAGCGTGCTTCAAAGCTTGCTGTACGACCACTAGAACACAAGCACAAGGTTGTTCATCATGGGGCTTGGGCGGGGTTCTAGTTGCTGCCTCTTGAGAAACCCAAGAGGATTATGTTTGCTTCAATTGGGAAACCCGAAACCTACAACTTCCTACGGAAGCGCGGATCAAGCTCCAAGTCAACCTAAACATACTCTCATCTAGGGGTCTGAATAAGCAACCCTGAGGCATAATGCTGATGTTCCTGCTCCTGGAGTTATAAGGGGGGGTTTATTATGCAGCATAACGACCCGCCAGGGAATAGCAGTAGCAAGTCTCGGGCCCCTATACTGCCAAAACGTTTCAAGCGAGGACTAAGAAAGGACAGGTTATCATCCTGGTGTCGTCTCCTTTCTTAAATAGTCAGCAATGTGGCCGCTGTTCCCCAACCAGCGCTCAGGCCCTCAAGACAAACCGCGGTTGAGGGTTCAGGGCTCTGTCTGGGTCGGGAAAAAGCCTAAGCCGTCAAAGCCAACATGCCGATGACAGCCATGGCACTGAGTGTAGCCCGTGTTGTGGTACAAGTCCAGTGCATTCGTCGACCTGCTGACAAAGTCTAATCCAGGAGCCTGAATAATTCGGGGGGGGTTCCTTATTACAAGTAATTGTAATATAATATACCAGAACCTTATTCTAATTATTAAGGCCCCTATATTACGGCATGGGCTTCAGGATAATGTGGGCTCTGTGGTTACGGGGTTTCGCTCCCCGCACTGTAAACGTCTGGTCAGGACTAGATTCTCCAAGATGTATAATATAGGGGCCTTAGTACTTAGTAAATAGAATGGGATTTGGGGGCCCATTATACTATAATTTCAATAAGGAGCCCCCAAAATAAAATTGGTAATGACTTAGGCCCCTACATTAAGTCAGGTTCACCCGATGTTGAACAAAGACGCCCGAACCCAAAAATGAAAGGCTTAAGCTGAAGGGTTTTCGAGTTTGGTGTCGAAAGGGTGAAGTGTTTGGACCATACAGTCTGGAAAAGCATTTTTGGATTTCTTTCCCAACAGTTCCAACAGAAACCCCGATCCCCCAATGAGACCGCACAACGTGGTGTTCATAACTGTGGGAATAAAGCCTGACAAAATCTCGGCACCCCAAATCCCAAACAGCGACGAAGAAGTGTCATAAGCATTCCAGAGGAAACAAGCAATGAGCAGCGAGTTTTGCGATCGGGTTCGGTGGTGCAGGCTTCAGAGGCTAGTTGCTATAACTATAGTGAAGGCTTCCATACGAGTTTAGAGCCTCTTTTTGGGAGGCTGGAACTTTCGGATCTAGTAAAATTTGTAGGGCTTCTGGGTACAACTAGTATGATCAGCAAGTCTGCTTTCGTATGCGGCCTAGAAGAGTCAAGTGAAATCGAGGAAGAACGGTGGATCTCAAACCCTGGTAAAATTCACAGCGATGGTGTTCTCTGCACACATGCCGCATACCCTTTCATGTCATCCTTGTAGCTCTGGACACTAAAGCCCTAAACACTAAACTCAAACCCTAGAACCCAAGTGCCAACACACTAAATCCCCAAGCACTTAGAACTTAGAACCCTAAACCCAATGCCTGTGGGAGTTATAACTGACAGTCACACGCAAAAAGACGAAACTCCAGTGATCTGGCTGTTATGTACCTGACTCGGTTTAGGGTTTAGGGTTTATCCATGAACCTTATGTCGGGGTTGATCGAAGCTTTAAACTTCAGGGCCCTTATGACTTCTTTTCGGTACGACCACTGCTGCCTAAACCCCTGATGTAGGGGCCTCAATAATTGAAATCTGCTTTTGGGGGGTTCCGTATTATACTTATAGTGTAATGTACCCCCTAACCCTGTTCAGAATATTCAGGCCCCTATAGCGACAATTAGCTACCATCCGAGGGACGTCTGAGCAAGCATCTGCTGCAACCTGCGCTTCATGTCCAAAACCTGGACGAGGGTTTCGGGTTGAGGGCTTGTTGTGCCTAGAGTTAATCCTGAACATTCCGAAGCATCTCCTGAACAGGATAACTATATAATCTCTGTAGAGTCACTTAACATGTCCGAATACCCTCTTTTCATTGTTCAGGCCTCTACCAAACTCCTACAGCAGCCCTTATCGTAAACCCTCTAAAGAAATCCATGCAAGAAGCGCTTTGCTAACTATAATATCTAAATTTCTGAGGCCTTTAGATGCCAAGACTTGATGCTCTCGGGCTCTGTTGGTTCGTCGGACTTGCAAGGGCGTGTACACAGACATATTAATATGCGTCTACAAACAAATAAACAACATATTATATGTGTGTGTATTCACACATTATTATACTGTTTATAGATGTATGCACATATACAAACGAATCATGTGTATGTATGTATATATATAGAGAGAGAGGGAGGGAGAGAGCATGACAAATATCATATCTGTGGGTGTTTATGAAAATGCAGGACTTTTTGTGCAAATGCTGATTGCTCTGAATGCACGGTTGTCTATGGCTACAAGGTCTTTAAGTTTATGGTTTCATTCCAGCAGGGCAGGTTACACACATATTGCACTATACTTTGCGAGCTAATATTGTTGTATACAGGTTGGGACGGTTTCGGAAAGATTCAATGTAAAGGGCATGGGATGAAGGGTGGCGCGTCAAGGGTTTGGTTTGCCGTGCAGGGTTGAGGGAGTGTGTGGCTGAAGGTGGTTTCGGACCCTAGTTAGACCCTCGATAGTAGTAGTTTTTTTGGCTATGCACCTTGATATTGTGTGGTCCCAGCCATAAAACAATAGATCCAACACAGGTACTATGCATGAGGGTCTAGGTAAGCATGAGGGTCTAGGTAAGCCATATGACGCCTATGGGGTGAGCACTGGGAAAGTGCGGGATCGGCATCAGATGCATTCTCAGAGGCTTCAGATCTATGGGCTTTAAGGGATTAGGCGCGCTAGGGTCCTAGGCCTTCGGGTTTAAGGGCTTAAGGGTATAACCACCATACACAAGCAGCCGAAAACTTGCATATGGCATGAGGTCCCCGGAAATCTCGGCATACACCCAAACCCTATCAGTCCTCATCTCTCTCTCTCTCTCTCTCTCAAGCAGTGAGCCACAACTCCCTGAACAAATATTAGGGTTTATAGGGTTCAGGGTTAGGAGCTTTAACCCCAAACCCCAAACCTTGGGCCTAGACCTCAGTGCTGTCACGATCAGCACAAGACGCTGACCGACAGCCGAAGGCTAACAAGCTGGATTGTTGCTAAGGGACTTAAACTAAGATACTATAATAAGGTACCCCCTCATATTCTATATATATATATATCCCATTCTGGTAACTTACATGAAGTTACTATAGTAAGAAAACACGAATATTTACTATTGACTATGTATCCCTGCTGTGGTAACTTAAGTTAAGTTACTATATACGAAGGAACCCCAATTATTTACTCAAACTAAGTTACTATACTAGGAACACCTTATCATTTGCTACATATCCCCATTATGGTAGCTGAAAACAAGTTTCTTAACAGCATGGGTAGTTTTGAGGTACTATATTGGGGACCTAAAAAGGGACCCTAATTTAGAGAACTGCCAACATCCCAGCAGGCTCAGCTGAAGAGCTCCCGATTTGCGACGAACCGAGGACTGCGTCTCGCCGAAGACGTCCTGGCCAAATCGGCTTTTAAGGTTGAGGGTTTAGGGGTTTAGGGGTTTAGGATTTAGGGTTGTAGGTTGAATTGGTTTCCTTGTTTTCGAATATGGACTTCATTGGCGTGGTGCCAAGCTGCCTGAGACGCCTCCAGCCTGCTTCCAAAGGCACTGAAACGAATCGCAACATTCTTGAAATGACCCCTGCACTTTAGACCCTAAACCCTGGGCTCTTGCTTGCAACAGCTCAGCATGTGCGCTTCATTTCTCAGCATTTAGGGTTCAAGGCCCTGGTTCATAAATCCGCCACTCTTGACACAATACTCGTCAACAGAAGAAGGCCCCGAGAGACTTTCGAAACTTAAAAACACTTAAAAAGCCGGGCTCACACTCTTATAAAATCCGTCTAACGTTCTTGAAAATGACACTAATCGTGTCTCGAAGTGTTGGAAGGCCCCAACCAACCCTCATGAGAAATGGCCCATCCGCCTCGTTGGACTCAGACGACTCCTCAGGGGTTGCTTGGTGTCCCTGCTTGGATGCTATTTCGACTTGGTTAGCTAGGTTGGTTGGCCCTTTGAAGCCTCTGAAACATACTCGCAAATAAGATCCTCTTAAGCTCGATAGGTGTGGGGGACCGGGGGACATCATGCCTGAACCACAGCCTAGGGCTTGAGATTTAGGGTTTAGGGTTCAGGGATTCGAAGGGGTGTTGCGTTTATATAAGGTTTCGGGCAGTTTATGGTTTATACGGTTTAGGGTTAGGGCTAAGGCTTGAGGGAAAACAGTTCGACGTGCGCACCGAGTATACCCAAATGTCGTGTGTGTTTCTACCAGCGGAAAGACGCCCCGCAAATCACCAATCCTCCCCCAGAGCCCTAAAGCACTCACCAAAGCCTGCATACAAGCTCTATCTCATGCAAAACAGTTTCGACCCATAGCTCATAATTAACATGACTCTCTGTAAAAACTCTTTGATAGGAGGTCAAAGTCGGAAGCCGTCTCCGTAAAAAAACAGAAGGGGGAGTCTAGTCTGCTGCAACCGTACAAGCCCCAATGCTACGGTTGGGAAAAAATTATATATATATATATATACCCTGCATTACCCATAATAAGAAATGTGCCATGATTCTCATAGTCTAGGGTCCTGAAGGCACGGCAGGATTGATATCATCAACAGTAGTGCCTGACTTGTGGCGCACGCTGCAAGCGCCCCTGCCTCCGTGCATGCAGAGCTACTTCTTGCAAGTCTGCTGCTTGCGGCATGGTGATAAAAGGAAGAGCATGCAACGCCTTCAAGACGATGAGGGGAAGATAGCGAAAGTGCGCCACCCAACAATCTCAAGTGTTGTCCCTGAGGGTCCATGTAGCCAAAGAGTATAGACTTTGGCCCGGAGACACCTATATATATATATATATATACATACGGTGTAATGTAAGGCCAGAGTAACTAAGTAAATGAAATGTGGATGATAATATAGGGGCCTGAACAATTAGAATAGGGTTCTGGGGTATACTATGCTAGAAATCATAAAACAAAGAACACGAAAATAGTATCGGCAATTATTCAGGCCCCTACGTTGCATGGACCAAGGGGCCATGTGTGACTAATGCCCTGAGGATTTTGGTCCCGGCCTTGTCGGGCCACATGGTCGATCCCGGGTAGTTAACAACTGGCAGAGAAAATGAAACCGGCTGCAGGGTTTAGGGTTTAGGGTGGGTTTAGGGTTTAGGGTTTGGGGTTCAGGGTTCAGGATTTAGGGTATTGGGTTTAGGGTATAGGGTTTAGGGTATAGGTTAAGGGTTTAGGGCTTAAAGTACAATTACCCTGTAGCGCTTTGTCAACTTAAGAACCTGAGACCCCTCAAAGTGACAAGGTGTCCTCGGAATCCGAGCGGAAGAGCACCTTGCGCGAGAGCAGTCTGGCATGGCAAGGTCTGGCGTTCAGACAAGAACCTTATAATTAAACCATAAACCCGCAACCCTAAATCCTCAACCCTAAACGGCTAAACCCTAAACGCTAAACACTACGACCGAAACCCTAAAAAACCCTAAGCATCCTAAACCCTAAAGGCCCGAAACCCGGTTTGGAAGCTCCAGGTTGAGGGTCTAGGGTATAGGCGTTTTGGGCTTAGGGTTTCGGGGTTTTGGGTTTGGGGTATATGGGCTTTGGGTTTAGGGTTTGGGGTTTAGGGGTTTTGGGTTTCGGGTTTAGGGGTTTAGGGTTCAAACTCAACTTTCGGAGCTCAGGGCTTCTATCCATAAACCATACGCATAGGCTCCATTGTAGCTCCTTCTGCTGGTTTATGTTTAGGATCCTAAAATAAGGTAACCCCAAAAAGGAACAACAATGGAGCCCATGGGTAAGCCCTAAACCCTGAACCCCTACGAGTCGAGGGTGCCGGCTGTGGGTCCAGAGTCTAGAATTGGAGGCTGTGGGTTTGCCTTCATGAAAGCAATTCCAGAAGGCCATTTCATGGAGGCACCTCAAAAAATCTAAAGGCAACCCTAAACCCTAAACCCTAAAAGGCCCCCGTTGCTGCAGACCAAGCCGCCCCATCGTCCACGGGTTGGTTGGGAAGCTTGATCTCCTCGACCAAATCACCTGCCAGGCTTCTGGCTTGTAGGGAATCCGCAATGTTCAGATCGCCAACGAATCGAAAAGAAAAATGAACATCCCCTACGCCTTCTGGCGCCCTTATGGACCCCGCCCTTACTTAAAGGAACCCTGTAAAGTAAGCCTTTAAAGGAATCTCTTACCCTAAAGTAACCCTAACCCCTAAACCCTAAACCTTCAACCCTAAACCCGTAACCCTATGTAAACCCTAAACCCTAAACCCTAAGACCCTAAGACCCTAGACCCTAAACCCCTAAACCCTAAACCCTAAACCCCAAAACCCCTAAAACCCTAAAACCCTAAACCCAAAGGCTCTCCAACCCTAAGCCCCTTTTTTTTGAGAGCTCAAACACTGGGGATCCGGCCACGGTAGCCAAAGGAACTCCTGGGAGCGTCGGGACAGGGTTTGAGCGCCCTTAATATTTAGAATAAGGTTTAGGGTTTAGGGTTTAGGGTTTAGGGTTTAGGGTTTAGGGGTTTCGGGGTTTAGGGGTTTAGGGTGTGGGGGCCCTTAATATTTAGAATAAGGTTTAGGGTTTAGGGTATTTAGAATAGGGTTTTGGGGTTTAGGGTTTAGGGTTTAGGGTTTAGGGTATTTAGAATAGGGTTTTGGGGTTTAGGGATTTAGGGGTTTAGGGTGTAGGGACCCATACTATTTTGGGTATTCCTTATTATAACCATAGTTTTGTGGGCCCCAAAACGCTGTTCTAATTATTAAGGCCCCTGTATTGGGGTTTGAGGGCCTCTTGACGGGCGCCTTTTCTGGGCTCCTTTAGGACGTCTGCTTGTGGAACCAAAGCCCGAGAAGATAGGGTTTAGCTGCTCAAGGTTCCTTCAAGGGTAGTATAGGGTTCTATAATAGGGTTCCCTTTTAAGGGTAGTGTATAGGGTTCTATAATCGGCGTCCCTTTTAAGGGTAGTATATAGTTCTATACTCGGGTTCCCTTTTAAGGGTAGTATAGGGTTCCATAATAGCAAGATCCCCTTTCAAGGTTCCTTTTCGGGTTCCTTGGTGGTCAGAGTTGAAGGCTCAGGGCTACAGGGGTTGGATTTTTGCAGGACGTCCTCAACTGGGACAGGAACGCCGCAACCCAAAAAAACGACAACACTCAACCCCAGAGCGCAAAGCCTAAACCGATGACTCGCGGAAGCCAACGACGGATTGCAAACCGTAAACCCTAAACCCCCAAACTTCAAACCCTAAACCCATCAGGATAAAGGGAAGCTTCGATTGGGTGGGTGCAGGGTGTACTCGGGCCGCAAGAAAGAACGTCTTCTGTAAGAGCTCCGGACAGGGCTTTGGGCTTAAGGTTTGCATTTAATTTAAGGGCTTCACTTTGGGATTACTTGGACTGGGCTTGATATCTTATAAAGCTACAGTGGCATGAGACCATAGAACATTCCATGGTTTAGAGTAGTGCAAACAATGGGTGGCAGCATAGGTAGTGGTACGTGAGTACATGCGCTCCTGGTGTGTTGGTAGCAGCACCAGCACTGCCAACAGGCACTGCTAGTGGAATTTCCAAATTTCCAAATTACCTGTGAGGGCCTGAGAATGAGGATCAGAAGCACGCCTGACTTCGACCTCTAGTTACCGGGTTCGGCTCTTCAAGCCGCCCCAAAACAAAACACCCTAAACCCTAAAAGCCCCGAACCCTAAAAGCGCTAGACCCTGAACCCTAAAAGCCTTAAACCCCAAATAACCTGTTGGATCCCCAACCCGGCAGGAAAAGCGCCCTAAACCCTAAACAGAAGATCGTTCCCAGTACCAGGCCGCTTGGACAAGCTCAGTTCTGTGGGCGAGCCCTGCATGGCAGAGATTGGCGCAATAGGTTTAGGGTTTCGGGTAATAGTAATAGTAAGGGTAATAGCAGGTGTAGTGATAGCAATAGTACTAGTAATAGAAGTCGTAGTAGTAGTAGTAGCAGTAGCATTCGTAGTAGCAATAGCACTAGTAATAATAAGGTGCAGGCTGTATCGCTCTGGGACTGGGTGCGAAGGTGTCAGGCGTGGGATTATTTTTGCTTTTTTGCGTAGGGTGTTGTTGGGTTTTCTGTTTGTGGTTTAGGGTTGTTTAATGATTAGGGTGTAGGATTACCGCGCAGAAGTCTGACATAAACTCATCTTGCAAAATACTGACACTGCTGCTAGGCATCCAAACAAACAGCAGACAAAACCATGGTGAGTAGAAAGCAATGGGGACATTGACGAGGGTTGAGATGATGAACGTTGTTGATGCTGACGATTAAGATGATGACAATGTAGGACGAGAATGCTGGTGAAAATCACGTTAGCACCGAATGTACTGCCAATACAGGTATGATCAACACAAAGCACTTACCCTTACTGGTACTACTTTTTGGGAGTGCTACTCCTATTTACTCCTATATTTGTGCTAGTACCAAACCACAATGCGTAGCGCATCACCATAACTATTTCTATGGCTGTCACTCTTTTGCTGCTACGATTTTTACCTCTTCTCAACAGCAGCTGTTGTCGTAGCCATTGGTGCGATCAGAGGCGGCGGTGGCGGTAGTAGTAATGCTGGTGCTAGCACCTGTTGTCGTTTGTGCGGTGTTGTCGAACGAATACCTGTCCCCGTAACAACATAGCATTGGACCAGACAAACCTGTACCCTCGAATTTTAACCTTGCCACCTCCCAAAACCTTAAAATTAACATCAAAAGAGATACCACCCTAAACCCTCAACCCTATAACTT